TGCAGCCCTAGCACAGAAGTCACAGCAGAGATGCTGGATGTGGCTATCCTCATGCCAGCTCCAGCTGAGATCTCTCTGGGAACTTGTCCTTCCCCATGAGCAAGATTAAGAGCAGGGCTGAAGCTGCCTGAGGTTTGGACACCACTTGGATAAAACCAGCCGACATCTCAGGCACCAAGAGCTGCATCTTTAGGATCCCTTCACTGTACACCAGAGACTAGTGTGTGATTTCCATCAGCAATGGCCAGTTTAGGACTCAAGAGCCTACCCAAACCTGATGTTGGCTCTTCAACTCATTCATTAACCCTGAGGGAGATGATAATTTCTCAATTACACTCCCAGCAAMAGAATTGCAAAGCAGGGGAAAGGTTACATGCATGAGATCTGACAAACATCAGGTAAGAGGAGTTTCTTACTGTGCTCGAAAGATCCKTTCAAATTCAGGAGGGCCTGAGATCTTTGGAGGTGAAATGCCAAAYAACCTCCTAGCATGGATCACCTGGAGGAAGAAATAGGCTGCAGAAAAAGAGAGAAAAGTAGCAGTGGTCAGTCCTGTGGCRGGGCACAATGGGGTCAGGAGCTGGCCAGAAACTGGGAAAAGTGATCTGCAGTCTCCTCCTAAWCCCACAACCCCACACAGCAGAGAAAGTTAGACTGAAAACCCAGGTACCTTTTACATAAGGAAAAGGAATGACCCAGAGCTATAGTGAAGCAAGGAATATGCAGTCACAGACCACCAGTATTATTTGCTTTCTTGCATAATAGCAGATCATAATTTCTTCAGAAATTGTTACACAATTCAGATGCATTTTGGTACTGGCAATTTTAAGGTTTTTTCCCCCTTTTAAATTGTGATATCTGTGTAGGGATGGAACTGATGCCACAGATAAGCCACCCAGACACTGAATTCAATTGTCATGCAATGCGGACCCATGGCTGACACCTACATGCACATCAGGAAGTGCTGTAAACCCAGAGAAGGAAATTCTACAAGTTTGTATAGGCA